CGAAACGTCAGCTTTCCTGCTCCTATGATGCTGCTTGGCCTGCTGTGTTCATCCAGCTCTACACCTTGTTATCTCAGATTTTCCAGCATCTGCAGTTCCTACTATCTAGGATATAATTCATCCAGCCCAGTGATTTAGCAACCTTCAAGAAAGTCAGTCCCTCCTGTATTTTTCTCATCACACTTATTTCATCTAATATTTCACATTCCTCCTCTTTAACTAGAATATCTGCATGACCCCTCGCCCTCAACATGACAAGATTAAACACTCATTTAGAACCCCACACACATCTTCTGTAACATAAACAGAAATTGCTGGAAAAGTTCAGCAGGTCTGGCAGCATCAGTGGAGAGAAATCAAAGTTAATATTCTGTTAACACATCTTCTCTATCTGTGCCCTAGTTACTATGTATATTTCTGTTAGGAATCCTCTTGGTCCTGATGTACTGATCAAACATCTTTGGATTTTCCTTAATTTTACCAGACAATATTTTTGCATATTTATTCTTCTGAATAACCAGGCGACTCCAGATTTTGTTCTTTGATGGGATAAGTCGCATTGTGCGCATTGATCTTTCTTTTGAATGCCTCCCATGATTTGCCACTGACTTTCCTGCAAAGTCAGAAGTCACACGACACCAGGTTATAGTCCAACAAGCTTATTTGAAATCACAAGCTTTCGGAGTGCCGTTCCTTCGTCAGCTAAAGTCACTTAACCTCATGACGGAGCAGCACTCTGGGAGCTTGTGATTCCAAATAAACTTGTTGGACTATAACCTGGTTTTGTGTGACTTCTGACTTTGTCCACCCAGTCCAACACCAGCACCTCCATATCATGACTTTCCTTCAAGTTGCTGTAACCAGTCTATTTTTGTTAGTTCTACTTTGTAAAGTTTGCCACTCCTAAACCCTCCCAAATTTTGAACATTTACTTCTATCTGTCGCTTTCCATAATAAAGATAAATCAAATTATATTATGATTATTATCTCCAAAATGGTGATCCACTGCTATTTCATCCACCTGGCCAGCTTCCCTCCCTACCACTAAATCTAGAATTGGCTCTCTCTTGTTGGGCTTGTTACGTGCTGGCTAATGAAGTTCTCTTGAATGCAGATCAAGAATTTTACGCCTTATCTGCCCTTTGGGCTTTTGTATCCCTGTTGATATTTAGATGTCACAAATTATTATTTAATAGTCACAAACTATTATTGCCCTACTGTTTTTATAAGTAGTAAGCAGTAAATTTTAATAAATTCAGTATTAGTTACATTGGCACATTGTTCAAGCCATCTTTCTGATGGAGTAACATGATACATACTATAAAAGGATAAACATTGTTTATAGAAAATTAGAGTGCACCTTCTCACCTTTGGTTTACACGGAGGTTATTCTGCTTCAAGAGTGCTAGGAAATCATTAAGGATCCAACCAATCACTTTCCTTGGATTAGCTTCAGTCTGTTCCACAACAGTTTCAAAAAATTGTACAAGTCCATCTTCATTCTGTGAAACAAAGTAAGAAAGAAAAATGCAAAAGCTTCACAACATATTCTACATTTTAATTTTTTTGTTTGATATTTCCCCCCCAACCTTCCATATCAAAGGCCATGAGAAAAATATATGGAAAAAACCTGGTGAGGGAGATAATGGCAGTTTGCTATGTTACTAATAATAATAATGCCAGAAAACTAACATGGGCCAGTTGTAGGTTTCCTTCCCTCTCTAGCTAAAATTAGCCAACACACTACAGACCATGTAATAAGTCTGTATGGCCAGGTTCTGTCATTTAGCCAGTTGGAGACTTTGTTTCTGCTCGTTTTAAAAAAGCATCCATCAGAAATGAAAAACAGTAAGTTTCAATTACAATTGAAATTAAAATAGATTCATTTATCAAAAATGTCAATATATTTGATAATATTGCAACATAAAATATAGACGCTCCAACTAATGCAACAAAAGGACAGTACAGCATTCTGAAGAAAACAGCACATCGATTCAATGTTTTTAAAGTTTCACACTACCCTAGCAGCTTCACAGGATCTCCATCATGCTCCTTGTCCACAATGGGAACAAAACGCCAGTGTAACTCGGCAAATATTTGAATTTCTAACAAAATATTTATATTTCCTTTTTGTTACAAAGCTGGTGCATCATTTCCCCCATATATCTTTTAACTGAGAATACTGACCAATACCAGGTTCAAGTCCCACCTGTTTCAGAGGTGTGTCATAATATCCCTGAACAAGTTGATTAGAAAATGGCTTTTTCTAAAATGTTTATAAACTTCAGACTAGAAAAATTCACTGAGCCCCTCAAGAGTAACCATGGAATGCTTCACTTGAAGAGGGTCCTGGAATTCCAGACAGCAATAATTCAAAGCGAGAGATGCCAATCAAAAAACTGAAGTGTGATTTCCTTTGGTTACAAAGATAATTAGGGGCTGTTTAGTCTTCTTAGCAGAAAATTATCTGTGTCCAGACTCTGGACATGACATGAGATGAAAGAAAGGCATCTCTGCACAAAAGGCATGAAGCTTTGAGGAATATGTAAGAAAGTAGGATAAAAGAAGTGCTGATGTGCTTGGGGTTTGAGTTACACTGTACTAAAAAGTCTGCTGTGAAGGTACACAGCTAAGAACTTCCATCAGACATTCCTGCAAGTGCAAGTAACAACGAATAAAGTCTCTCTCACTGTCTGATCAGTCGAGCAATCAAAGCCACTATTGAAGGAAACTGGACAAATTCCTTTCAGCTAACTTCAAGGATGTCCAGACAGTTAACCAATTGCCAACATTAGAGCTGCCAGAATAATCCAAATTAATAACCACGATGTTTCACAATCTATTACAAAGAAGCCACAGATGAATTTGAATGTTCTCTTTTTATTGACCTGCACCTTTTGGACTCACCTCTCATTTCTAATCCGTGTGTGTCGGTTATATTACATTTTCTTGCATTTTAGTAGTCAATAAATCCACATTTTTCTTTATGTAAAGACAGTCTGGTTAAATTGGTTATTATTGAAACATAAATACATTTAGATTGGGAAATTATATCCATGAGGGCAGGGATCCTTTTTTTAAACTAACCTTGTTGCAACCAAACAAGGGAGGAGTTGAATAAAGAAAGGGAGTCAGTTCACTCCTCTTCACATGAAAGCATTACCATTTGGGGGTACCCCATATGGAATCAGAATGATTTTCCAGGGAATGTTCATAAGAAATCCCATTAGTTCCCATTAGTTGATGGTACAAGAACTCAGGGATAGAGATTTAAGATTCTGAGCAAGAGATACAGGGAGTTGTGAAAAGCATTTTTTATACAGCAAGAGATAATGACATGGAACACACTGTCACCAAGAAACTGAAAGCAGAAACAATCAATGACTTCAAAAGGAAACTGGATGGGCTGTTGAAGGGTTAAAAAAATTGGATAGCACTGTAGAGATTAAGTGGGGCTGGCTGATTTGATTTGCAGGCAACCACCATAAATTCAGTGAACCAAATGGCCTCTTTTTGTGCCTTGAATGACTTCTGTGCTCCCTTATCTCTCCTGGCCAGCTTGCAAACTTTGTAAACATAACTGAAACCATAAGACGCAAGAGCAGAAGTAGGGCATTCAGCCCATCAAGTCTGCTCCGCTATTCAATGATACCATGGCTGATCTGACAATCAATAACCCCTTTCCTGTCTTTATCCCATAATCTACAATTGCTTCACTGAGATCTGGATATCCTAGTTTTGAATAAACTTTATAGCCTGGTCACAACAGCCCTCTGCAGTAAAGAAGTTGACAGATTTACAACTCTTTGAGAGAAGAAATTCCTCCTTATCTTGGTGTTAAATTGTGAGCTCTTATTCAGAGATTATGCCCTTTGGTCCCACACTCCCCTACAAAGGGATACAACCTTTACAACATCCACCCTGTTCAGTCTCTGTAAAGTCTTGTATTTCAATAGGGTCGCCTCCGACTGTGCAACAAAATTTCTATTGTTCGCTTCCTAACTTCTATCAATCCTGCATGACCAATATCATTACATTCAATGAACTACGCTGTCTTCTTTTTCTGGAAATGCCTTGACTTCAAAATCCTCATCCTAATTTTCAAATTTCTACAAGGGCTCACTCCCTATTTTTGTAAGGTTCTCCAATCCTAAAGCCTTCCAAAATCTCAGAGGTCTTCAAATTCTGTCCTTTTGAGCATTCTTGATTCACCACTGAGTCTAAACTTTTGCAATTTCCGCCCCAATCCTCTCCGCCTCATCATTCTCCGTGAAGATATTCCTTAAAACCTACTTCTCACCTGTCTTAATACCTGGGATATTCTGTTACATTAAAAGCCCTATACAAATGCCAATTAGTGTTGCTGTAAAGAGTCGCTGTTTAAAAATAGATTATTTGTAGGGTACTATAATTAACCTGCAATCCTTAAAGAAAAGAGTGAATGTATTTCCAAGCACACTGGATAAGAATAGAATAATACTCAGCTGTGATATGCCCTAATTTTGAAGACTGCACCAATACTAATTCAACTGATATCTTTTATCCCAAATAATTTAAAAATTACTAATACTGTCCCAAATAAATACCATTTAAATTATTTATTGGGTGACCATGAGGTTAAAACATCATCTTTTACTTTTTGACTGATAGAAACAAATGTATTGCAAAGACATCTTTTCCAATATGACAGTACATAAAGATACAAAGCACTTATGCATAAAACACATCACTTGCAAATGAAGTCTGCCAGGTTTTTGTACTAAATCTGTGGCTGGAAAATGTTTACGGGTTCTTAACAATAGAATCTGTGAAAGTTATTTTGAGAAGCATTTTCTGGTGTTTTATTGGGATCAGAATTTCAATTAAGTTACATTCCAAAAGTAAACCAACTCTTGTTAACCACCTTGTCAATGGCAGTGATCAACATGTCAGTGGAATTTTGAGATGGCAGCAGCTTTGAAATTTTACAAACAAGGATGGAATTGCTAGAGTGACTGCCAGTTGGTGCATCAGTTCACGTAAAAATGGAACGCAATAACTGGAACCAAATTCAGAATTATTTATACAAACACATCAACAAAAAAACAGGATGGGCCTTAAACTTGGTCTGCCACTTGATAATATTATGACTGATCTGATTATAACCACAAATCCATTTTCCTGCCTACTCCTAATAACATTTCATCCACTTGCTTACCAAGCATTCACCTATTCACCTCCACTTCCATCTTTTCAGGAAGATGGCACCAAAGACTCATGACCTCAGAGAAAAAAAATGTACCCTGTTTCTTAGTTAAATGGATTATGCCTTATTTTTAGACAGTTCTAGATGGTCCCACAAAAGGAAACACCCTTTCCACATCTACGTTGCCAAGATCCCTCAAATTCAAACAAGTTTTAATGAAGTTGCCCCTTATCCTCCCAAATTGCAGCAGAATAAGCCTAGCCTGTCCAGCCCTTCCTTGTGAGACAACCCACCTATTCAGGTATTAATCTGGTAAACCTTCTCTGAACTGCTTCGAACACATTTACATCTTACTTAAATAAGGTGACATCAATAATATACACAGTAAGTCAGACGTAGTTTCACTAACGCCCTGCATAACTGAACATAATTTTCATACTTTAGCATTCAATTCCTCTCATATTAAATGATTACATTCTATTAGCTTTTCTAAATACTCGCCATAGCTGCACACAAGTCTTTTGTGTTTTACACACAAGGGCATTCAACTCTCTTTGCAACTGAGCTCTGGTTTATAAGAAACATGTATTTACGAAAATAAACCATATACTGTGAATCTTAACATTAAATACAAGTACTTACCACTAATGTGAAGCTGTGTTCAGCAAGAATATTGTACTTTTCCACCAGTCTTTTTCTTTTAGCATTAGGTAGCTCAGGTAGCAGCTCACGAATATGGTCAATATTCACCACTTGTTCAGGATTTACATTAGTAGATAGATTTTCATTGTCATAAATAACGAGTGGAGGCAAATTTGGTTCCGGCATGAATCTTAAACATTTTAAAGATGTTAGCAAATTGAAACCTCTCAGGATTAATTTTTAAGTCGTTTAATCTTGAATAAGATAAATATTGAATAGAAGGCTTAAAAAATCAGTTTTCACAACCGTGCTTCTCAATTCCTAAAATTAATTATTAAATGTCCAGTTATTGGCACATCACTGTATAATGTTAATCTTGCACTGCTCCACATATTAAGGATATGCAATTTTTATTTACAAATGTTAGAGCATCTAATCAAAATATTGGATAAAATGAATGTGCACAGTTTAACACTTCCATTTGCAAATCAAATAATTTTTTTTCCAATTTACAAATTTAATGTACATAAAGACTGCTTGCTGGGAAGCAAGAAAATTTTAGCTAAAATCAACATTGGCTCAGTGTTTGACTGCATATCCTATTACCTCCAAGTGTTTCATGTAATCATCATGTATCAACAGTATTTCAAGAATGAACACTGAAACAAGTCCAGTTCTTTTAGTTTCTATCTTCTTCTTTTCTGCTTTAATTCTTTGTGATTGTGAAAGTTCTCAACCTCAATGACAAACATTGCCAAAGGTTTAGTGTGCTAGCATCTAATGACTTTTGCAGTATCTTTTTCAATATTGCAATCAGAAAAGCTCTGAAACAGTCTGTATTCCTGATGGTTTCTCCTGCCATATGAAAGAAAGATAGTAATGGAAGAAATCCTAATGATGAAAACTGTAACTTCAAGTTTATCATTTGTGGCTTGAAACTGCACTGTTATTTACCATAAGGCAATGGATTCAGAGAGAAGTTGGAATACGGCAAAGGCATTTTCAGAAATAGGCTACACTATTTACAAATTATTAGCAATTTCCTTTTCAAGTAAATATAAAATATTATGTTTGACCTAAAAGTAAAATGTAAAATACTCTTACTAAAATACATGTGAATGATAAAATATGCAATAACTAATTGTAACAGATAATGAATGGCCTTGTTAGATTATACTCTGCAAGGATAAATATCAAGCCATTTTGAATTGAGCAGAGATTGAACCTCCTGAGGATAACAAAGGAACATTTTTCTTTAGGTTACCACACGTTCAAAACAAAGAAAAAAGAATCAGGAGTTCAATATTCATTTTATACATTCTCTATAATTAATCCTAATTACCTATAGTCTTGCTTTCCCTCTTTGTCTCTCATAGATATGGTCTGCCTGAAAATCATTAAAACATTAATTATTAAGACATTTCCACAAAATTTACATCTTAGCCAAAATATTATTTTCTAGAATCTAATATATTCATGTCTTTAAAATCGTCGTCATCTCAATTTATCAAAATACAACTACACAGTTCTGTTTTGGTCACTAAATAAAATATTCTAATTGGTGGCCCAATAGAGCATTATGGTTCTCCAGTACTCATTATTAGATATTATGGAACTTTCCACTTTGGAACAAGTAGCATTTTTCCAATAGATTAGTGGATAAGTATGATGTATGGTAAGGGTTGGAACCAGAAGCTCCAAGGCTTTGTTGCTAGGCTATGCAATATGGGCGTTGTCAGTTTCTACAATTGGCCTGAATTTCACTGGACTGATGTGGTAGTAGGCTGAAGGACAAGCAGTAAGCAGCCACTCCTCATCACCAATGATTGGTGGTAATTTCCCGTTCACTCACAAGCATCTTCAAATAATTATGACAGAAAAACTGTCAGAGGAAGTGCAGAAACTAAGTTTTAAAAAGTGCATCAACCCAACTGTGTGTGAGTGAGAATGTATCTTAAAGTGGTCTTAATCTATGACTAGCTGTTTGAATGTGAGCAACTAATATTCCGCACTAGAGATAAAGACGGGCAAAGATTCTACATTCTTAGTATTAAGGATGGCATTGACATAGTTTCTCAGCATAATGAGGATAAAAATGGAGTCTATGTAATGTTGAGACATAGGAAACAAAACTGAACTGTTGCTGAAAATGAGCATGAGGATCATGATGTATGATTAGCAGGTAGAGCAAAGTCATTTGCCAAGACTGTAGAGGGCAGCCAGCACTAAACACACTACTTAGTGGGTGCATACATCATGAGGGTATCCAAGCTTAATAATGGCTAACAACATTTAAAACTACACATAACTAGATGATATAACAGTTCTCAGCTCACTAAAGGCTAAGACTGTAAACATGAACTGCTGCTGAGGGCTGTGATGAAGATTTTGATGGACGGTCTACAGAAAAAGGCTGATGCTTTTGTGCACAGAAATGCATGGTGAACTGATAGGTCAAAAGGCCTGCAAAACAGTCAAGAAGCATGAGGTGTTCAACATCAGCCTTGCACAAACTTTTGTGAAAAACCTGCAGCCTATTCTTTTCAACTAGAATATAGTGACCAATCCTATTATAACTATGGACCAGACGCCCCAGCCTCAAATGGTGATGATCCACTGTTGTCAAGTAATTGGAGGCTACTGCAGCAGATATGTGCAAAAGAACTCGAGAGTGTCACAGCAGTTCAACAATCTGTCCTTTAATACATTATTGGCATTGCTGAGGTGCAAACTTACAGGAGCAGTAATGGTTCTGCAGAGAATGAACTTCAGATTTATGACATTGGGAGAGGCGGTGGCTCAGAGTCTTGGATTATGGGGACTTGGGTTTGAATCCCACCACAGCAGATGGTGGAATTTGAATTCGAAAAAATTGAAACCATTGTCAATTGTCATACAAACATATCTGGTTCACTGATGTCCTTTTGGGAAGGAAGTCTGCTGCCCTTATCTTGCCCAGCCTACATGTGACCCGAGACCTGCAGCAAAGTAGTTGATTCAGAAATGTTATGAAATGACCTTGCAATACATTCAGTCACATCCAAACCACTGAAATGTCTCAAAAAAGGAAACTGGATAGTCCACCTGGCGCAACCTGGGCACGAGAAATGACAACAGCAATCTCAGCCTTGTAGACCCCTGCGAAGTCCTCGTTGCAAGCATCTGCGGACTAGTATCAAAACTGAGACAGCTGTCTCATTGACTAGTGAAGAAACAGTTTTTCATAGTCACGTCTCACAAAATCACACTTTCCAGGCACCACCATCACCATCACCATCTCTGGGTATGTCCTGTCCCATCAGCAGAACAGAACCAGTAGGGGTGGTAGAACACTGGTACACAGTCGTGAGGAGTTAACCTGAGAGTCCTCAACATTGATGACATGAGTCATGGTACCAGGTCAAACTTCGGCAATGAAACCTCAAACACATTATCATGTACCCCTTTAACACCATGCCTCTAGGAATTCCTGTGCGTGTTTATGTTTGGCTTGGGCTACAGTGGTTACCTTGTCCCAGTGAAGGCCATCAGTTTAACTGGGACAAGGTAACCATAGTAGCCTAAGCCAAACATAGACACGTGCAGGAATTCCCAGAGGCACGGTTCACCAACGGTAATGGAATCAACAAACATACAGAATTGGACCCCATATACAAACCCCCACAGAACAAAACCGGAAATGACACTACTCACCATAACGGACCGGACAGTATAAATTACAAGCGGAGTAGAACAACATCGCTTCATCGGAGGCCTCACTGATGATGTCACCTAGCATGGTGATGAAACATCTGAACGAAAACAAGCCAGTTCGGCAGGCAAGTCAACAACCTCATGGCTGCCTACTCTTTCCCTATTCCCCCTTTTAGAGTTTCTCGTCTGTGTTGCTTCTGTTTCTTCACCCTTTCATGCTGTTGGCCAAGACAGAATAGAAACATCTGCATTATGACTGGGAGTAGCATCCTTGAAGTCAGAACCAAGGCCTTCATCACATGCCACACTGTGATCTGCAAAGTTCAACAACTTTAAATAGCAGTGCCAATCAACAAACAGTCCCAAGTTTTTTGAGAAGGTTTGTAGCTCGGGTTGTGGATGAGGTTGTAGACTTGCTCGCCAAGCCGGTGTGTTTGGTTGCAGACATTTCATCACCCTTCTAGGTAACATCGGTAGTGTGCCTCTGGTGAAGCATTGGTGTTCTGTCCTGCTTATTATTTACAGGCCTTGGTTTGCTGGGGTGGTTGGCATTACTTCTGGTTCTGTTTTTCAGTGGTTTGTATATCAGGTCCAGTTCAATGTGTTTGTTGATGGAGTTCCGGTTGGAATGTCAGCCTCCAGGAATTCCCTGGCACGTCTTTGCTTGGCTCATGCTATTATGGATGTGTTGTCCCAATCAAATTAGTGTCCTTCTTTGTTTGTGTGTATTGAAACCAGTGAGAATTGGTCATGTCTCTTGGTGGCTAGTTAGTGTTCATGTATCCTTATTATCAGTTTTCTTCCAGTTTGGCCTATGTGATATTTTTCACACCTTGTATGGTATTTTGTAAATTATGTTAGTTTTATTGGTTGTGGGTATGGCATCCTTTACATTCGTCAGTAGCTGTTGCAGGGTGGTTGTCAGTTCGTGGGCTACCCTGATAACTAGGGGACTGAGTAGTCTTGTGGTCATCTCTGATATGTCTCTGATGTACGCTGGGGTGATTAGGATGTCTGGCTGTGTTGTGTCTTCTTGTTGTAGTCTGTTGCGGAGGTTACAGCAGCTAATGAAATTCTACCATGCTGCTAATTAAATTTCAATTCAGTCAATAAAAATCTGGAATTGATAGCTTGTTTGTCTCAGTAATGGTGTCCATGAAACATCAGCAATTGTCATTAAACAAACTCATATGGTTCACTGATATCCTTGTAATCCAGTTCTACAGTTTAGTAAGTTAAGTACGAGCAAACGTTGTTGGTTTTGTCAGAAGCCTCATTCCATCAAAGAATTAAAAAAAAGACAGAAAAAGGACCAAAATGATAATATAATCTATCCTCTCAGAAGTACAACCACTAGAAATATCCGCATCAATGGCAAAATGACAAATAGATTTGCCACAATAAGCTCAGCATTTGCCTGTTTATGGAAGACTGTGGACGAAACAAGGTATCAAACTTATTATAAAACCAGCCATATATAAACCAGTAGTAATAGCCAGCTCCTAAATGCCACAGAAATATTAACTACCTACCCCTGATATATTAAGTAGTTGAACATGCTCCACATGATATACATTTGGATCATCATGAGCATCTAATTGGAAGACAATGTCCATCACTGCGATACCTCACAAAGTAGAAATGACTGGAATGAAGCACTCAACAACAGACCTCATGTCAAATGAAGAGGGCATGTAGTACACAAGTATTGACAATAAAATCCCTAAGATAGTTACGCATTTAGAACTTAATCACAGACACCAACTACAAAGCAACCTGATAGCAAGGTTCAAAGATTCCTTGAAGGCAAACTTTGTCACTATGGACTGACAGAAAAATGGCCAAGGAACAGAGAGATCATCAGTATTGGTGTTGCCTACTCCAACAGAAAATATTACAGGCATCTGAGTTCAAAAAGCAAGCTAGAAAGACCAATCAGACTCAAGGAAATCAAAGTACTTCTCCATGCCCATATTGGGGAAAGCCATACAGGTATGCAATAGGACTTGACAGCCATGTTAAAAATCACATCCCTTTGAAAGGAAACCTATGATGATTCATTGTGTGTCTTCTGTTCCACACGTGGTTAATAATTTTACTTGATTCTGGAAAATGTTTATTTGATTTTTAATTTTCTGTTCCAATTTCAAAGAAGATTTCAAAAGGAAGAAATTTCACAAGATACACTGGGCAGCTGAGAATTATTTAAGTGCCAGGACATATACACTACATTAAAATTGCTAATGTGGATCTGAAATCATTGACATTATTAACAAAGAGCTGTTCATCCATTACTACTGTGCTAAGGAAGTGTAGCTTAAATGTAGTTCAATAGATTACCATACGTCGCTTTACTGTCACTAGCTACTTATCATCTGTTAATTGGAACAAATCTCTTCTACAGTTTATCTACCATGACAAATATCAAAGCTTTTGTATGCTTTATGAACTCTAGATGACAAAATTATAATTAGGATACCCAGATTAAATTTTACTAATATGGGTTCCTATTCAATCCCTTGGGTCACAATAGATGACCAGTTATTCTGATATATATCATGGCAAATGAAGAGTGCCTTATGGAAACATTTTGTGACTCTGAGCACATTACAAAATCTGAAAATCATAAGAGCTACATATTCAATGTTAATTTTTTTCTGCTTAATTACATATAAATACTTCTGCAAAACTAGT